TGGTGATACCCAGGGCCTTCCTAAAGACAAACAGGCAAACACATACCCTTGATCTTGTGCTTTGCTCTCCCATTCTTTAGACTTTTTCTTCTTTCTCCCTTTCTCCAGGCTTTTCAAAAAGTTATTTTCTAGTTACTTTCAAACCCCAAAGTTCTCTTTCTCTCTTGCTCTTTCTTACTCTGGAAACTGTCTCTACAAGACTCTCTGTGATCTTTAATGCCACTTTAATGGATGCCTTTATCTTTGTCATAGTTATTACTTTTGACCCTGCCGATCATTCCTTCCTTCTCTTTTTTTTAACAAAATCTTTATGAACTCTACTTGATATATAACAAATGCTCATTCTCATTAGTGAACCAATGAAAGTCTTTCCTAATGTTCATTTTTAGTAATACAGTTAACGCTATTAATTTTCTTGCACCACCCTTATCTGTTTGTACAGGTTTTTTGTTCCCCTTTTATTTCTATGTAAACCATCTGTGATTCCAGCTTCACTACTCTCCTAGGTGGAGGAATCATTTTTCAGTTTGCTGTTTAGTTGAATTGGATTGGTTTATTCAGAGCATGTAGTTTATAAAATGATTAGTTTTTGGAAAGTAATAGTCATTGTAATCAAATAAGTGATGATTTTGAAAGTATTTAATGAGTATTAGAAAGTAATATAGTTACTTTTGTTGGAGACAAAATGAATTTACTGATTGGGTTCCTAAAGTCCCCTGTGTTGATTATTTTGTGCACTTAACCAAATTCTAAAAGCAGTGTCTTAAAATCTTCACTTTGTGTTTTTATTTAGGCTTTTATTTTTATTATCTTCTCTTTCTTGAGATTATTTTTTGACCTTCGTGAGGTAATGGTTTTTAATTTTTTTTTCTAACTTTCTGACTAAAGAGTTTTTGCTCTAATGTGATATAAGAGCTTCTACCAAGCCATGAGGTCTAAAAACCACACTCTAAAAAAAAAAAAAATTAACAGTGCTTAAGAAAAAAATAAGAATGGGAGAACACTCAGAACCTATACAACTCTGTATATGGAGAACTAATAGAATAATAGCAATCCTAGTAAAAAACACCAGCATAGCTAAAATAATGTTAAATTATTAATAAGGAAATGCCACAGTTAAGTATAAAATCTTACCATAGCTGCTTATTAATTCTGTATAATTTCTTCCCTTAATGATGTTTTCTTATTTTTTTCTCACTTCTTAAATAGACTAATTTATTTCTCATAATTCTTTCTTAAGGCCATGGATTTTCTTCTAGATATGGTAGTGATCGTATAGTTTTTGATAGGGAGTGTGCTCCTTTTTGAATTTTCTAAATATTCAGTAAGTGAGTTTTGGATTCTTTTTGGTTCAATAATCAGAGAATATTGGAGGCTTTTCCTAATTTCTGTGCTGATGAAATATTTATCTCCGGGAGTTGGCGGGTGGTTTTTAAATGCATCATATTACATTCAAATAATGGTTATCAAGACTACAATGATTCCAAGTTATATTATTGATAATGTTCCAAATCTCTTCCTACATTTCTCTCTTGGACAGTTCCCTTTGCATGTTTATTAGACACCTTCACAATCTACCCGTCTCCACTGAGTCTTTTTGCGTCCTCCTTCCAATCTGCTCATCCTCTTAATACCTTATTTGGTTACCCATCCACCTGGATGTTATTTTCCACCTGTTCATGGCCTCTAACACTATTTCCCCGTCCTGTTCATTGTAACAATTGATTTTTTCCATGGATATTATTTCCTGTTATTGCTGCCAAAACTTAAGCTAGGCCTTCATTATCACCCATGGCTT